TTTTTTCCTAAAGGCTTTTGTTCCTGCAGAACGAGAGGTACTTTGACCTTGGCCGCTCGGCTGCCAGCTGCTTGTGGTTGCTCGGCAGCTAGAAGAAGTCGACTTCGAGCACAGGATCTTCAGCTGTCTCACTTTCCGAATCTTCTCGGTAAGAAGCAGGAGTTCGTGACCTGCTTCTTTTGGAAGCATTGGGCAGCAATGCCGGCGGTGCATGTGGCATTTGCCAAGGCTGTTGGCTGGAAGGCTGGGTTTCAGGGCCTGTTGCTATGAGGAGAGGGCTGCTTTGGTGTGCAGAGTTGGCCTCATCTTGCCTGGCTGGCCCTTCACCGTAGTGGAGCTGTCGTGGTGCCAGCGGTGACAGGTTGGCGTTGAAGCTAGCTGCAACCGGCATATCCCGGTGTGGCTGGGTATCATGGCCTGTCTGGTTCTCGGTTGCAGCGGAAGTTGATGTGCCTTGCTGTGAGGTCATGTTGGCCAGCTTGACTAGCCTTGGCTGTTTGCCGTTTGAAGAGCTCTGATATGGGTGGCGAGGCAGCAATGGGTGCCCCTTTGCAACTCTTCTGTAAGGTTGCCGTTAGGATGGGTCTGCCTTGGGCATCTGTGTGGGCTTGGGTGCCACAATGCTTGCAGTGGATTTTGTCTCCTCTTTGCCAAAGGAGATGATTGGAATGACCACTGTGGGTGTGTTCGTACAGCTGGTTGATACATGGGCTTTGTACATAGGCCTTGAAAGCAGCTTCATTGGTCCGCTTGTGAGTGCTCTGGCCACACGTGGTGCACCGCAAATACCCTTTTGTCTCTTCAAGGGTGTGGGCACTGGCCGGTTGTTGCTGGGCCTGCTGCTCGAGCAAGTTGGCAATAACTTGAGCTCTGGTGAGCTTGCGGGAGATGGGCTTGTGAGGGCTGCTCTGGTCAGGATACTCCTCTTCAAGCTGGATCTGGGGACAGGGTTGTTCTAGTCGTTCTTCGATGGTGGGTGCTGTGAGTGCCTGATGGACCCTGATGCCACAAGCACTACATTGGTACCCGCTGCGGTGTGGCTGCCAACGGTGACAGGGGGCCTGCCCCTTGTCTTGAAGCACTACTGCCAGTCTGGCTGCTGCATGTCTGTAGATGGTTTCATGGTCTTGGTCCAGCGTGGTTTGCCATTCAGTGGCCCGTTTGTTGTGGAGCTGGTTGGCACGCTCCCAGGCCGTCAAAGCTGCATCCCTTTGCCTCCTCCTGAGATGTGGCTCATTGCCTGGGGTGTCTGGTGTCCTTGTACTACGGCTGACATAGAGGACCGTAATCCGTTGGAAGTCAGCTTCAGTGAGACCTTGGTAGAGGTCAGGGTACTGGTCTCGGTGCCGAGGTTCGGTCCATGCTTCCCAGACTGCAGCTACTTGTACGATGACTTTGACTGCAATGCTGGTGTGCTTGGCCAGAGCTACCAAGCCAGCAATCAGGGCTCGGTTCTTGGTCTGAGGGCTGTCTGGCACGCCTGTGATGGCCCCTAGTCGCTGCAGTTGTCCTGTGCGCATGACATGGACACAAAGGCCAAACACCCATAGTTGGCTGCGGGTGTCATAGGTGGAGGGAGTGGCGTCTAGAGTGAACGCCCACCCTTGGTGCTGGTGTGCTTGAAGCATCTGCAGATCTTGCCAGACCCCATGTCCTTGATAAGGATGCTGAATGGTCAGGTGATCCTGAGGCTCCAAAGGAATCCAGCCAGCATTCCACAAAGGTTCTTCATCATGCTGAGTCAGCCGCTCTGCCCATTCAGGTGGCATGGGTTTGTGGCCTCGTCCTTTGTGCCACTTGCACATCCACACTATATGTTTGGGTGTTGCCGGGACTGCACAGACTGGGCTTGCCTTGCTCTCTGAAATGTATGGCTCCTTGGACCCAGGTCCGGAGGTAGGTTCTGTGTTCCTTGGGTAGCTTGTGAATGAGCTGTCGGAACACATGCCAGTCCAATCCTGCCACCAAGTGCTGATGGTATTGCCTCTGGGCCAGTCTGGAAGTTCGTTGGCTGTTGGCCTCTTTCAGGAGCGCCCTCTCAATTTGCCACCAGGGTTGCCTGAGACTGAGGTCATTGGCCGTCAGGTAGTTGGTCTCAGGTCTGGTCCAGTGATGCAACGTGGGTGCCTGCCATTGCCACTCATGGAGGTAGGCTATGGTGGCTGCCATAGGGCCCTTGACAGTGTACCAAGGATGGGACTTGGTGTTCAGCTGTTGGTAGATGCTGGTCCATGCCTGTTCTAAATGCTCAATTTGGTCTGTGGGCCAAGCATGGTAGAGCGTATGGAGGGCTTTGACGTGGTGGATGATGACCTGGTCTGCCGGGTCAATGTACTTGTTGCTGTGAAGATCAAACGTGGCATCCAGTGAACCTCCATGATGATGCCCTAGTTGGTTCGCCAAGGCAGCTCTGAGTGCGAGTCGATATCTCGGAGCCAGACCCTGAGCTTCAATGCCCCATAAAGCAACTGGCTGGATGCCTCCCTTGTGCAGCCTGAGTCTGACTTTCAAGGAGGGGATTTTGAGGCTGCGGAGCTTGAGCTTTCGTTGATGGGCTTTTGCAAACCTTTGCTTCATCACAGGGATTCGTCTTCGTCGGGCTGCTTGAAGATCTATCCCGAGGTCCCTCATCACTGTGGCTACTTGTGGTTCGTGTGGCTGCAACAGAGCTTTGAGCTCTCGATCCGTGGCCTTGTCAGTGGCCAGAAAGGCAATCTTTTTTGCATTGACCCTTAGCCCAAGTTGCTGGAGCCTGGTGTGTAAGTCCCGGTAGGCTGCGACCGCATGTTGGAGGCCGTGCCAGTGCTTCTGGACATCATGTACCACCTTCATGAATCCACGTACTGGGCCATGCTGGACTTCAGCTGGTTGTTTGAGCGCCAGCTGGAATCTGGCACCGAGTTGCTCCCAAAAGGCTGGACGGCCTTTGCGCCAGGTTCTGGTGGAGCCCATGGGGAGCAAGGGTTTGGTGACTGCCCTGAGGTTTGCTCCCCTTCCTTGCGCAGCCCAGGGGTGCTCTTGCAAAATGTACTGCTCGGTTTTGGATAGCCAGTCTGCCCACAGTTGTGCTGCCGCATTTGTGGGATTGTCGTATAGACAGAGTTCATGTGCCTGGCTCTGGTACGTAGTCCATGGTCGGAAGTCAATGTCCGGGACTTTGGGCAGGGGAGGAAACTGCTGGATCTGTCTGTACTCACGTGTGGCTGCTTCGATGTCAAAGTTCAAAGTCAGCAATGCATGCGGCCGCCAAGGTACAGCCCAGTCTGTCGTTAGTGCAGTGGTGCTGGCAAGTTGTTCGTGTAGCAAGCCATAGTCCAGGACATTTCCTGACAAGACACTGTGGTCTGGAGCTAGTATGCCGAAGTGGAACTTGGCCGGCAGGACCGTGCCTGCAATGGTATCCGGTGGGTTCTGCCAGTCACCTATGATTACATAGGGATGCTTGGTGGCTTCAAGTAGAGCCAAAAGGCGGCTGAGCATTGGCATTGGTGGTGCTCTGTAGTGTTTCACTGTTGTGGAGATAGATGCCCACGACCAAAATAGTGGCCTCAGTTGCCTCCCACAAGAAGGCATGGTAGCCGCAGCCCTGATGATCATAGTGCTCGAGATCCATTAGGCAGCAACTGGGATCAGCCAATATGAGAATGCCACCAGATGTACCAGTGGCTTGTGAGTTCATGGTTGCAGCAGTGCCAAAAGCGGTTCTGCCTCGGATGGTGAAGTATTGACAGACTTTTTGATGCCTTTGTTGGTCCAGGTGCCCTCACGTGTCCAGTACCAGTCCAGGACCTGCCGGCCAAAGTTGGTGACATTGGCGTAGTGCAGCTTGTTGTGTCCTTGGGCCTTGCGGGCCTTTTTGTTTGGACTTGGATGGAGCGGTGGATCATAGTCTGGCTGTTCCAAAGGTGGCAAACTGCGTCTTATTTGTTGCGGTGTTTTGAACACATCAAGACTGACAGCCCAGATTTGTGTTATCTGACTGGCCAGCTTGGGCGTGAGAAAGGGCAAGTAGGTGGGAACTTTGCCATCATCTGCCAACCACATCAAGTCACGATAGATGAGTATGGCGAAATAGTGTCCCGTGTCATGGGTTTTGCCCCTGTGGCAGATGAGGACTGCCGGGACGAACTCTGTGGATGTCCTGGCAAAACCATCCAGGGAGCGAGGGACTGTGAAGGTGCCATAGGGATTCAGCGTCTTGTTGTGCTTTGTTGCAATGCCATCCACCACTGTGTTCCTGGTGACATGACAGATGAGAACTTTCTTGTCATCCATGAGGTACTGTCCCAAACCCTGGTTGGCCCAGTTGTTGAAGAGGTCCTGAAACCGAATGTCCTCAGGCCAGTCATCAGGGAACGGGATCAAAATCGGCATTTGGACATGATCCACGAGGTAGCCATTTTCTTTAATCTCAGCGTACCTGTAGTGGAATGCTCGTGTTTGAGATTGGAGCCAAAGGGAGTTCACAAAGTGTTTGGCATCTCCTTGCAAGTTGAGGTCATGTTGAGTCCATAGCTCTTGCATGCCCGGCAGCTGGTGTAGATCAACTTGTTCAGCTGTGTCCAAAGATTCTTGCACCGCATCTTGCAAGGCTCCCCAGGGTTGTGTGCTCGTCTCTTGCAGTAAGGCACAGGTCCAGGTGAAAGCTCGCCAAGGTGCATTGGCATAACAGTGGGCGCTTGGATTGCCCACCGTCATACTGAGGTTCTGCAAAATGCAGTCTGTTGCGGAGGCATACTCATGCTCCATGTGGTGCGGTCCTGACTGTGGCAACTCCGTAGATCCACTGGAGGCTGCTCCACCTTTGATGGAGAGGTAGTCAGGAGGCTTCAGATCTTCATGGCCTGAAGGTTGGCTGAACCTGAAATGAGTCAAAACTGGGACTATGGTGTCCTTGGCTGCTGTGCCATGTAGATTGCTGCATGAAATATCCCCTTCATGCAATCTGGAAATTGGTGCCCCAAAAGGTTTGTCTGGCCATGGTTGGAGGTGTGAGTGTTCCCCGTCACACCGCGCATGGTCTGTTGTGTTAAGCACCTCGGAGCCTGATGCAGCGCGGCAAACCCTTTGGCGCTGGTTCACATGGTCCCCAATGGAACGTGCCTCATCAAAATCGTCAAAGGGAATAGGCACAAATTCCCCTTGAAGCTGCCCCTTGTTCTCCCACTGCATGTTACCCACTCAACGGTGAGTGAAGTGGAGTTGCAGTCGCTTCAGTTTTCCGGCGCTTGGTTGGGTCTTCTTCGTCCATGTTTGGACGCTTCAAGAGACCATGGAGTTGGCTTCTCTGATCATCTGTCAAAGAAATGCCGAGACTCGTGACAAAGGATTCAACCGCCATGGGAATGGGTTCTGAAGCCGCGGGTTCCTGAGTGAGGTCTGCAGGCTTGGGTGCTTGATTGACGGCAGCCATGTATTGGTCTGAGAGCTGCTTGAGCTTCTGTTGTCCTTCGTTGAGCCGGGTTTGGATATCCTGCATATCCTGTAGCATAGCTGCATAGTGGCTCTTCGCCTGGTCTAGCTTCACTTGGAGTTGGGTCTTCTTGATGGATTGGTTTTTCAAATCCGTGACCTGATTCTTCAACTGCTGTGCAATTTCCTTCTCGGTTTGTGGGAGTGGGGTCGTCAGTTTGGTGACAACAGCCTGGACTTCTGGTGGCAAGGAGGTCATGTGTGTCTTCAGGATATCTGTCAATCCTGGCTCCTCCTGTGGTTGAGGCCCTAGGCCAAGTGCCTGCAGCTTGCTTTGGATGGTATCTGGGATGGCTTCCCAGTTGGCCGTGAGGAGTTCGGCTGCCTGCTGCTGGTCCTTTGGCCGACGTAATGGCCTAGGCCTGGTCAGTCCGGGAGGTGTGTCCATGAGTGCTTCTTGATGGAATTTTCTTGGCCATACCTTGGTGGTGGGGCTCTGCTTGTTAGAGTGTCCTTTTCCTTTGCCATTGGCATTGTTGATGACCCACCATGTGCCGCAATTTCAGGCATCTGTTTCCACTTTGAATTTTGTCTGTCCAAATCCATATGTATGTATGTATGTATGCATGTATGTATTTAAGTATGTATGTATGATATGTATATTATGTATGTTATGTATGCAATGTATGTAATGTATGGCATGTATGGCATGTATTGTATGTATGGTATGTTTGTTATGTATGTTATGTTATGTATGTATGGTAATGTAATGTAATGTTATGTTATGTTGAGTTATGTTATGTTATGTTAGTATGTATGTATGTATGTATGTATGTATGTATCTATGTATGTAATGTATGTAGTGTATGTAATGTATGTAATGATGTAATGTATGTAATGTATGGCATGTATGGCTGTATGGTATGTATGGTATGTTGGTATGTATGTATTAATGTAATGTAATGTAATGAACTGTAATGTAATGTAATGTATGTAATGTATGTAATGTAATGTAATGGTATGTATGTATGTAATGTAATGTTTGTAATGTATTAATGTATGTATGCTTGTATGCATGTATGTATGTGAGTAATGTATGTAATGTAATTAATGGTATGGTATGGTATGGTATGGTTTGTATGTATGTGTGTATGTAATGTATGTAATGTAATGTGGTGTATTGTAATGTATTTATGTATGTATGTTATGTATGTAATGTATGTAATGTAATGTAATGTAATGTAATGTATGTATGTATGTATGTATGTAACGTATGTAATGTATGTAATGTATGTGATGTATGTATTGTATATAATGTATGTAATGTATGTAATGTATGGTATGGTATGGTATGGTTGCATGTATGTATGTCATTATGTATGTATGTATGTATGTCTGTGTTTTGTATGTATGTATGTATGTATGTATGTATTAATGTAATGTAACGTAATGTAATGTAGTGTAACGTAACGTAATGTAATGTAATGTGATGTATGTATATATGTAGCTGATATGTAAGTATGTTTTGCTATTTACACCGTGCGTATGGCAGGCAAATGTTAACAGTTCACCTATCACCTTCTATCAGCGACGTGTCCTAAGCACGACTATAGCACGACTAAGCACGACTATAGCGACGTGTCGTAAAGCGCAATCTTCCTTTACCAATGCCACCGGAGCGTTCTTCCTCCTCATGGGTAGACCGCTCTGAGGGACCGTGTGGTGGAATGAAGGACCCGCCAATGTCCAATGTGGTGGAATGGAAGGTAGAGAAGGCAAGACTGAAAGTGGATGGCCAACTAGCACTCGTTCAACCCAACATTGCAGGGTTCTCGGGTTCTCTCTTGAGAATCCCATTAGAAAGTGTAGCAGGGAGCTGAGGGCATCAGAAGGCTTGGTTTGCTTCACCATCCGAACCTGTGCAACCCATTACTGTAAGCATTTGGGGTGGATGTGGTGATCTCATTGTTTTGAACTCCCGCAGCGTTAGGCCAACGAGCAAATGGACAAGCGCATGGGCTTAGCGCAAGAGACCTTCAGCCATGGAGCTCAGCTGAAACGGAGCCCAGAAACGCCTCGGGCTGGAGACGGGTTGCCGGACTGAAGGAAGCCTTCGCAAAATGCCTGCCATGGGTTGCACAATGCTGCACATCTACGAAGATTTGTCTGGAATATTGGGATCAGTTGCAGGGCCGACAGGTCTTTGTGCACTCCGACTGGATGAAGATGCGCCTGTTGCCGAACCGTTGAGTCACAGTTGGTACCAAACTTTGCCCCCGAGTGTTAGTCGCATGGCAAGGCACTTCGAAACCCAAATCCACAAATGTCCACTTCCAGTGGTCCAATACAATGAGTAGAACTGTAGAACTGTTTAGGGTGTTTTGGTTTTTTTCCCCTCATCATGTCGATTATGTGATCATCGGTTCTTCTAATTATGATTCTATAGGCTTCAGGCATGAGAATCTCAAGCGGGTTTCTCTGATGAGAAAAGGAGTCCTCCCTGTTTGTGTTCCTCATTGCCCCGTCACCGCGGTGAGTCACCATTATGTGTGAGCTTGGTATGTTGCTGGCGATGTGTCCAAAGCATCCAGGAACGGAACTGCAAGACCCCCCTACCAGCCATTTGTCCCACCCAGTAACCACTTTTCTTGTGACGAATTCAGCATGTCACGAAAGCTAGCCTTAGCTAGCTGGAGTTGCTCTTGCTTTAGCAAGTTAAGTGACGGGGTGGACGCACCTCAGAAACCTCAAATAATTGATTAAATCAATCTTATGGACCCCCCCCCCCCCCCCACGGTTCGCCCCCCCCTGCGCGCGGTGAGCGGGACCACCAAGCAGCTGCAGCACACCAAGCATCTGCGCCCAGCGCAGCAGCGGCAGCAGCAGCAGCAGCACCAGCCGCAGCAGCAGACCACCCAGCGGCGGCAGCAGCAGCAGCAGCATACCCATACCCAACGCCGCGGCAGCAGCAGCCGCAGCAGACCACCCAGCGCCAGCAGCAGCAGCAGCAGCAGACGACCCGGCGCCTGCAGAGCACCCAGCGCAGCAGCGCCCAGCGCAGCAGCGGCAGCAGCAGCACCAGCAGCAGCAGCACCAGCAGCAGACCACCGGAAGCCCGGCTAGCTTTCGTTCACCCCCTCTGGCCTCAAGTTGAGATATATGTTGAGACCTTCTTGTGGGGAAGCTGGTGGTGTCTACTCCGCCTTCGGCATCCTTTGACTTTTGACCTCCTCGAACTATGTGGTGTTCATGTGTTGGACAGTGGCACCCCCAGTGAGAAAGAGAGAGGCACTTCACACATCAACCAACCTCGCTTGGTCAACCAAGCGGATCCAAGTGGCTTTGGTCCTTTGATAACACCGGTGGCGGTTGAAACCGGTCGCGTGTCAGGTCAAGCCGTGCAGAACGTCGTGAGCGGCAAGATCTTTGACGAGTCGTAGCCTCCCAATAGGATGGAAGTAGGGCCTGAGTAGGGCCTGAGTAGGGCAATAGGTTATTCAATCCGCAGGTGTGGTTGATGGAGGACATGTCAAAGGGTGAGATGACGAGGATCAGCCTACTGGCATGAAGTGCAAGAATAATCAAAAATTGTTGAATGAAGTTTGCAAAAATCATAGGAACCCCGGATATGTATTGCGTTTGCCATCGGTGTTGTTCCGTCCAAGCACGCCTGTATGGAGCTGACTGGCATTGGTTTCAAAAAGGACTCGACCTCTTAGCGCACTAGCTGGCTGCAGCGGATGGAAGTGATTCTGATTCTCCACACGTGTCCGCCATGAACATGGAAGCTGGTATTGAAGAGATGCTTTGTCGTGCAGAGTTATCTAAAACCTTCCTGCTATCAAGCGAAAGTCAAAATAGTATATATATAGGTATACCGCACACTCTGACATTGGTTTGCTGTTAACTCAGTTCCCAGGTCAAAAGGAATGAGGGAAACGCAAGGTGAAGCAGTCGGCATCCTTCAAAGTTTAAACAATTGTTGTACTCAGCGGTCAAACTCTCACGCGGCCGGCTGCGGTAGGTTGCAACTCACGCGAAAGCTGCGGTGGGAAACCTGTTTCGGGGGAGGGACCACATGAAAAAACCATGAATCAAACCAAAGGAGTGGACAGCGTGGTCAACAGTTTCATTGCAGGTACAAGAGCCGGCGTCCCAGCTCTCTTCCAACTGATTTCCGTAGCTTCGTTGGCACGGATGGGAAATCAGTCTCCGTGCCCCCTGCTTGCATGACAAACGGAAAAGGAAAGGATTTCTTAGTTACAGAGGTTGACACACACAGACACACACACCACACTGACTGCCGTGCAGGTGTTCATCCCCTTTGTTTTGTGGTTTCTATTATTTGTTGCCTTCTTGGGACCTGCGATTGGACTGCCACTAGCCGCTGCCGCCGCCCCCGCTAGCCAGTCTTGGCTGCAGGACATGTTGACCGCTTGGCGTGGATTAGATTCGATGCAATTTCAAGGTGGAAGAGGACACCATCCTATGGCCCTGGATTTCAACTGCAGAGTCCCACTAGCACTTCTGCTCGGAGATGCTCGGGGAACGTTCTGGTTCAGCCGAGTCTCAAACTTTAAGCCTTGAGATTGAGCAGGTTTTGCATGCTGGAATAGCCATAGCCAATGAACAAATGGTCACCTGGAGAAACAGCACTGGGTCAGTCGACCCTCTTGCGTGCAACTCAGCTGGCGCCTACCACGCCATGACGCCAGCGACCCCGGCCAACGCGCGTGCTTTGGCGCAAGCCGCAGTTGCCAACATCCGGGCCGGAAAGCCAAGTTGCCGGGGGAATGTTGAGGGACTGGGGCCAACTCTAGGCCTCTAGGCGATGCCATGTGGTGTTGTTCGGACTGAGGGACCCCATAGCACCAAAAATCGGTCTCACCCCTCCTCCAAGATTCTCTTCTTCGATCTTCTTGTGAGCACTTGAGATGCTCCCAGAACCCTCCGCCGCAGAGCTACCTGGAGCGGAGCCCAGCCGGAACCAGCTGTCCGGCTGAGGCCACCACGGCACAAGCATTGGCCCAGGAGAAGCAAAGCCAGGCTGGGCCGAGGCTCCAAAAAGCATAGGAAAGGCTCCAGACACCTGCCATTTGGAGAGATCATTTTTCCGCCACCACCGGCTGCAAAATGTGGGCGTTCGGGAGTTGCTTACTTGACAGATTTGGAAGTGGGTGATTTGATCCTGGTTCTTGACCGTGCTACAAGTAGTTTGCATGGGTTTGTTTTGGGCAAGTCTGCGATGATGGCCTTCAAAGCAAGCAGCACGGGAGGAAAAATCCTGGGAAATTAGCAATCATTTGCTGTTGCATGTTTGCGCCAGGCTCCGGCAGCTGCTTTGTTGGAGCCAGCCACGAAGAAGGAGGCGAAGACTAGTGGCTATGAGAGGCCGCAGCACGTGCGGACGGGGTTTCGGGTGTTTTGTTTCCCGCAACTCTAAGGAGCCACCATCCTTTGTTGACTCAGAAAGAGGCCCCATATGCATCAGATGGTAGCACAAGATATCAATGATATCACAAGTTCATAACTTAACCGGTTGTTGCGCGTGTTTGTTTCACCAAACTAGGTCCTACAGATCAGAGCAGAAACTCACCTTATGATGTAGAGGCATGCCGCCTTACTTGCGGCTTTGGAGTAGGATGATTGGAGCCTAGCTTTGGATCTGCTGGTAGAGGTTTTGATATCCAGAGAGGTCTTGAGAAACACAGAGATCTAGAGATCTGGCCTTGAGATCCAAAAAGATCAAGTGATTTGGAGATCTAGGGCCTAGAGCTCTTGAGATCCACAGAGGCCAAGACTCTTGAGGCCCACATCTTGGTCTTTGAGATCCGGAGACATAAGCTCCAGAGGCCTAGAAACCTAAGAGCAAAAAGGCTGGAGATCTAGAGGCCTTGCGATCCAGTGAAGTTCTAGAAAGGTCTTTTGCGGCCTAGAAACCCAAAGAGGTCTAGAGATCTAGAGTTCTAGAGATGAGGTCTTCAGGTCCAGTGCGGGGCCCCTAGAAGTCTACAGTGCTAGAGGTCGAGTGGGTCTAGAAGGATCTAATTGGCCGAGACATCCACAAAAATATGATCAAGAGATTTGGAGGTCTAGAGGCCTAGAGCTCTTGAGGACACATGTAAGAGATTGTAAGAGCACCTGATCTGAGGGCACCTCAATAGAAGCACGCGTGTGAGAGCACACATATGAGCACGCATCTGAGAGCACATGTATGAGAGAGCAGGCATACGAGAGCACATGAGAGCACAAACAGAGATCGAGAGGTCTAGTTCTAGACGTCTAGAAAGATCCAAAGGCTGAGATCATCTGAGATCCAAAGATAGGTCTACAGGTCTGGAAGTGGATGTCTTAGATCCAGAGAGGAGAGATCAAGAGATCTGGATCCTAGAACTCCTCAGGCTCAGAGAGATCTCGAGATTGAGAAATCTAGAGTTCTAGAGTTCATGAAAGCTTTCAAAGCCGAGAGATTCAGAGAGATCTAGAGGCCGAGAGGTCTAGAGATCTAGAGAGCGCATGTGAGATGTGAGAGCGCATATATGAGACTCATCTGGGGGCACACGCATGCGAGCACATTTAAAGAGCACGTGCATGAGAGCACACATATCAGAGCACATTCGCAGCATATGCCACGCCATTTGCACTTCAAGCAGCACAAAATGCTGCGCCTGCCACACAACTTGCACTTCGGGGCTCACAAAATGCCGTGTTTGCCACGAAATGTGCACTTCGATGCTCACAAAATGCGTCAAATTCACTTTGCGTAGCCCTGCGAAGGAGTTTCGCAGCAAGAGCGAAGCGCGGCTTTCGCTCGAGACTTCCCTCGATTTCTGAACACAAACCACATGCCCAAAGGTCACCATTCACACTTCGAAGATCTCGAGGTGAATGAATGACCATAACTGGCAGCAAATCAGCGCGGATGCAAGCACCTCGATCAACACCCAGCCGTAACCATCACTGTAACAACCCTAGTGTGACCACACTGCTTGGCGAAAGAGTAAACCAATAGACCTAGAAGGGCTTGGAAAAGACCATGTTCCATAGCTTGACCCATGGATGACCATGTTCCATAGCTTGAAGTATAAGACCAGGCCTCATTGCGACCATAGCTTCCGCTCCATTCGCAGCTGCAGTCGCCTCAGGCCGACCACGCTCACAGAGGCGGAGCGCGCAGTGTTGGGACCTGAGAACGTGGGTGCCGCGAAGGACGCGGCGCGAAGGACGCGGCGCGAAGGACGCGGCGGAGGACGTGGACGGCCGGCTGTACGACAGCTTTGGAGCTCAAGCGGCTGGTTGAACGCTAGGGCTGGTGGCCTGAGCTTGCTCAACTTGTTTCAGCAGTGATGTGCAAGCAAGCGCAAGCAAGAGAATGTGTGAGACAGAGGTAATTACACCAAGTGGCTTGACACACATGAGCCAAGATAAACCGCAACACGCTGTAAGTATTTGTAAGTTGGATTTGCTGTGACTGCGGTGTTTAGGCGAAAGTCAGCCACAAATAGTGGATCAGATCAATTTAATTTGCTTTGGTTTCAATAGGAATCATTTAGTCAATTGAGCCGCCTAGCCTGCACCTTTGACCTTAGAAGGAGGAATCCACTGGGAATTGCCTTTTTGCATGGCCTTCATGAGAGCCACTCCTTTTGGTGCACTACCGGCTACAATAGACCTTTCTCCTTCAATGCTCCCCAGAAAGGCTTGGACGTAGACATGCCTGAAAACGCTGTTCCCTCACCTCATCACATCGTCCATTCCGTGGCGAACCCTGCCGCCAATGTCTGATGACATTCCGTCCCTGGCGGAGTTGCTGGGACAGCTGGACGAGGAGGATGAGGAAGATCAACATGAGGAAAAACATGAGGTCTTTCTGGCAGACCCGAGGCCGCCATGACAGCTACGCTAGGTGATGGCAGGTGTGAAACCAAGGGGAGCCTTCAAGCAACCTCAACCTAGTAGGAAAAGTCAATCAAATAACTTTTTTTTAAAAAGATATGTTTATATACATAACCCATCACAACCCTAGGTTCCACATGCATCCTTTGTTAGAAGGTACCTCAACACCCCTGGTACACAAAAGACCCACATGTAATCACATGTGTATATATATATATATGTATATACTAGCCTAATCAGGCCAAACAGGGTCTTCATGTTCAACTCCAAGTTGAACCCACCCTGTCAACAGGCCTGAAGAGGCCGGACGCCACCTGCTCGATCCCCTGCTGCTGGCGCTGCTGAGGGCTCCCCAAGTGCACGCGCAGCCGGCGCTGGCGGCGGCCTTGGGGTTCTTCGGGATGGAGCTGGTGGTGGAGCTGGTGGAAGAGAGCCTAGGAGATCGGTCTTGCAGAGCGGATGGGTTCATCTCATCAATTTGGGGGAGAGTTGCGTAGACGTTGTGTTTAGGGGAGCCTCGAGATACATAGTTGTTAAGTACAGAGTGCACGTTTGCTTTGTGGCATGCGGGTGGCAGCTGGGTAACGAACTACGTGGCTGCAGGGCTGGTGGCGAAGCAGTCAGTCCACCTGTGGATGCTGTGGGTTTACTATCGCAGGTGCAGGAACTTTGTTTGAACTTTCAACAGGGAAAGTATGGAGCACAAAAGTGTACCAAAAAACCATGACCTGAAGGTGCGGAAACTTTCTTTGTTTCATTGGGGGGAGAAGCTTGTGACAGCACATCCGAAACGAATAAACGTATGTTGCTGCGATTGGGGAGGGGTCCTTTCCGGACTACTGTCTGACAAGTTCAAACTTTCTTTCTGACATGTTTCTTGCCAATCAACCAAGACAGAGTGAGGAGCCGGAGAAGAAGGATTGAGGACACCGGGAAGTGGAGTGAAGCTTGAATGAAGATGATGAGGATCGTGTGGCTTTTCAGTTACTTTAGTTGCGATGCTCATTGCGGTCGGGGTGAAATCAAAATCCAAAGCTAAGCTAAGATGCTACAACAGACACGAGAAACTAGTAACTAGATGACTATAGATGTAACTAGCACATCCCACCCAAATCAGAGCGCCTACTGCACCGATTCCATAAAAGAAAAGTGTTTTGCATCAGCTGGGCAATGATTTTTTATACTTTGAAGTCGTATGTTCCGAGGCGCCTCAGCGCACAGCTGCGGACCGAGTTGCAGACCTCCGAAGCGGCGCTTCGTGGGGCGACCACGTCGAGCGCGGAGGAGAGCTAGGTAAGAGGTCGTCTTAGCACGAGCTTGAAATAGCACCAGTTGAATTGGTTTTTCTCACCACCTGTTGAATCTGATCCGCCCGATTTCCGCAGAAGGCCGAGCCCTCCCTGAAACTGTTTGATTTGCCAGCCCGTTGCGCTTGTGCATGCGGTGCTCGGCGTACAGGAGGTGGTGGCCCTGCAGGCATGGCGTGGTGGAGCGCTGCTGAGGCTGAGAGAGTTGGAACGGCAGGTGGCCTGGAGGGTCTTAGGGATTCCGCGCCGCACCGCGGAGCCTTGGCGCGGGAGGGAGAGCTTTTGGGGGGGCGGTCGGATGGAAAAGGGGTTGGAGGCGGGTGGGGGAGGGAGGGAGGGGCATGGTTTGGTGGGAAAAGTGCAGTAGTTGGAGGTCCTGGTAGGTTGTGGGGGTTGGTGGAGTGAGTGGATGAAGATGGTGATTTCGCAAGTGGTGCAGATGGATGCAGCCGCATTATGAATGTGGCAGGCTCATTTGTAACTTCCAGTGCCGCATGCTGATAGCACGGAGTTGCTTTGACGGATCATGGCTTTGTTTGGACTACAGAGTTTGCGGGTACTGTGCGTGGACTGAATTGACGAGGCAGCATGGTGCCGTCTACATTTTTTTCTTTGGCCAAAGAGCAGGCATCCATGTTAGACACCCATCATTTCCTTCACATAGTTGAGGTATAAGAAGAATACATGCATCATATAGAACATCCGGTTATGTATGCCAGCTTCCCTGCTGGCCTTGCTTGAAGTCCTAGGATATCTCCGCCATTGGGAAGGCCTTCAAACGCCGCGCATTGCAGCTCCACCCTGACAAGGGTGGCGACCAACTGCAGTTTCAACTGCTACAAGCGACTTGGTTTGGCTTAGCGATCTCAATGCTCAAAGAGGTTCAGAAACATCACTCGGCGTAGAATGAGTTTACAGAACTGTAACTAATTGGATGTTCCAGAAATTCGGTATACCCGAACATCACTTGGTGGGGTGATCGCTTTGGTGCAGAAAGGATCGCATGCCACAGACTCCATGCCAGAAGGGCATTTCACATGTTCAACACGTCCTGAGGTGAATTCCAATATACTGAGGCCATGGGCCATTGTCGGTTTATGTTTGCATACGACCGCCCCAGCTCCTAACATGTCGCCCCTCACCTGAAAGGGGAAGATCGCCTGAACAGTACCCTTTTATTCGTGTTTTAATCCAGCTCAGGTCGTGTTGTGTTGTGCTATGCCGCGCTCACCTTCATAGTGACTATATTGACTATATGTCTATTATATGTTAAAGTTCTAATTAAAATCGCATTATAGTTGGTTGCGGTCATGCTTAATGATGTCAGAATAGACGATGATGCTAGTTTGTCTCTTGTCCAGTTTGTGTCCTGGGTTTGTTGGAGAGGGCATGAGCACGCGCTTGGGAGACGTGAACGTGTTCTGTATGCTACCGCGTTTTTTTGGGAGTGATTTGGCGAGGGGGTTGGTTTGTTCATGTTTGTTCCTAGAAAGAAGTTGCCATAAGAACCATGGATGCTCATAAAGTTTCATTCTGAGTTACGCAGAATTGTTCTATGTAGTTCAGAGGCATCGAAGCGAGGTATCACTGGGTTCTAATGGCCACCATTTTTTGCGATGTTCCCTAGACTTGACCTTGCTTCACATGCGTCAGTTAATTAATTTAGACATTTAGAAGCTTGGAGTTTGATGATCACATCGTGTTTAGTTTCTTGTTTCATATCGTGACTTGCCTGATGTTGTTCAGACTCACGCGACAAATCTAAGAAGCACCCGACACGCTGTTCGTTGATGCAAAGCCGCAGGAGATGAAGGGTCTCCTGATGCCCGAGCCGCGCACATCGAGCTCCTTGAGAAGACTCGGTTGGTGCTTACACTGCTTGCTGGAAGTAGACCTAGTAAGTTCCGATGGAAGACGATGTTCCCTCTACAAACGGGTGGTCTTCATGTTCTAATTGTTGTTTCCTTTTGAAACCTTCTCTGGATGGTGCCAATGCCAATATGTGGGACTGTTTCACCTCTTGCATCTTCAAGGGCCCCGTCGACGCCGGCTCGCGGCACATGGACATGAGTGGAATCCCAATTGGGACAACTTCAAGGCCTCCAACGACTCCGTCGAAACCACCCCAGAGCACTTGCAGCTCCCCAGTTCGACCTCTCAGGCTCTGCACGAAGAAGTGCGTCGCGTGAGCGTGAGGGCGAGGACACGGACGAGGAGATCGAGGAGCTCTTGCGGGCAAGGCGGAGGTTGGAAGAGCCAGAGGAGCCAGTGGAGCTGAAGGTGGGACAAGATGGATCAAAAAACGTGGTGCTATTTTAGCCATGCCGGCGCGGGTGCCGGCCCTTTCGCAGGCGGACTTGTCGGTGACACGGCTGAAGCTGCACCGGGCGGTTCTGGAGATCTGGGAGCGCTCCAAGCGCTTGGAAGCGCAGCTCGGGGCTTTGAACGGTGCAGCACCAAGCGGCTCGGGGGGTGAAGGCGATGTGACGGATGAGGAGTCGGTACAGGCGAGGTGGCGAGGGGGAGGCGGTGGAGATCATCAAGGGGAAGAGCTATAATATGCTATAATCATATTTAATCAAATAAATATAGTTAGTTCGATAATACTACTATATAATCTTTATATATATATATATACTTCTATAGTCTTTATATTTATATATATATATATCCGTCCGTTGTTTTTTGCTATGAACATTCCTAACCTGTGCAAAACATTCTACTGTATCACAAAGTTAGGCGATATATATAGAAGGCGATAGAAGGCGCTCAATTTTGCTCCACATTGCTGGCCAATCATTTTGTTTTGGGAGGTGGGACACACGGTCACACGGTTGAGGCCTGCTACGACTCATTGTTCCATTTTCTTTGCCACCTCTACCATCTCTCAAAAACTGCCATCATCATCATCATCATCATCATCATCATCCTCATCCTCATCCTCATCCTCATCCTCATCCTCATCCTCATCCTCAGCATCCTCCTCATCCTCATCCTCAGCATCCTCCTCATCCTCATCCTCATCCTCAGCATCCTCCTCATCCTCATCCTCATCCTCATCACCATCCTCAATGGCATCGTCCACAAATCCCCGTTGTGTATCAACATTCAACATTCCACGCGCAACACAAAAAGACCGCCAAACCCATCCACCGGCTCCACCGGCTCCCATCGTCTCAGGACATCCTCCAGCAGCTCGGTGCGCTCAGCGCGCACTCCGCCGAGCGGACAGGCGCTGCAGCCTTGGCCGCTCCGGCGACGCTGACGCGGGGCCAGCGGCTCGGTGCAGACGCTTAAACGGGGGGTGAGGGGATTGCATGGGGATGCTATATTTTGATGTTCGTCCAATTCGTGGAGGGTTGATGGTTGGTCCAATACATGTTCGTACAGTTCCCAAGATGTAGTGCGCTTTGACATGTCGACCTCGCCTTGCATAGCAGACATTCATAGATACGAAATGATACGAATTAGTAGTCCGTTTGTTGAAAGGTAGTGCCACAACTGCACCGACCTGCCAATTCACATCACTACATTCCTGTGGTTATCCTATCTTCCATCAAGCGCGGACGTTGATTGTGGATGAAAGCCGAAGGTCTGCACAACCCCTGTTGGCTGGGGTGTTTGCAAGCTACAGTACATCATCCTGGGAGCGTTCTTTTTGGAGTCTATGGATCAGAATCATGGTCCTGAGCCCACTGAAGTCCACATGGTTCAGTCTTTGAGATCCTTGAGGGAATGCCGGTTCCCAGGATGTTTCAGGTGTTGTTTGGGCAATCCACCCAACGAATCTCAAAGACGTCTATACCTTGGTTTGTCAAACTTCCCATCAAAGACCCCCGGCTTTGAGGCTGGAGCGCCTTAAGGAGCTTGCATCCAAGGCTGCGGAGATTGGGAGGGCCTCGGAGTGGCGTTCGACCCCCCGCCGAACCCTTCGTGCGATGGTCCAACGGTTGAAGCGGTTGGGGGCCTAGTGACACTTGCCATCTACTCCAAAAAGTTTGACCATGTTCTGAATGACTTGTCGGAGCTTGTGCCTTTTTTCTTTTTACACTCAACATATTTTCCATTGTGGGAGGTTGACTCGACCTGTGTTCCTTAGCCGTAGCCCCTGAACGGATCAAGACTAGTGTTGGTGTGAACGTCGGCAGGAGGAATAGAACCTGTTTCAGCTGTCATGTCAGTTTCGGGGATAGTACTTCAAGGCCCATCAAGTCGTTTTGGAGTCATTGTTCTGAGAGCATGTTTGTTTGTGCTGCCTTTTTATTTCTGAAGTGTTTCTTCTGAAAGATCTGGGTGCGAAAATGAATCTCGCTCCTCACATGGCTCAACTCCCCCCCAAGAAAATAGAAAAGACCATGACCAGGCCCGCCTGCCCAGCCCAGACATGCATGTTTTGTGTATCTTCTTTGTCTTCGCCTCCCAGGTCGCCAGCTTCATGACGCCATCAGCGCCTGACGGGCGCGATTCGCTGGACGCCCTCGCTCCGGTGAGGGGGGAGCGACCCCCGCGCTGCTCGGCGCAGGCGGAGGAGGAGGCCTGGATCGCTTCAGTGTGTGCTAGTTTTGGACCGGGTGAGGAGTTCCTTGGAATTCCTCATGTTTTGTAGGGAATCTTCGATGATTATAATGTACAATTAGAAATCACGTAAAGGTTTAACTGCGCTCCTAGTTTTTGCAGGTGTTGCGGTTTTTCCCAGTAAGATCTTGGCAAAACCCTGCAGGTCTTACAGGTGCACCGAGCTGTAAGAGAAGAGGTGGCAGCAGTTGCTGGTGGCCCTGCTGGGGCCGCTGGCGCCGTGACTTGGTGGCAGGGGCGTTTGCTCAGTTGGTTTGATCTGCGGTTGGTTTGACCCGGTGTTGGGTGTGGGGTTGTGGATGTTGTGCCTGGTGCTTTTTGTCGTTTGCCTCGCATCAAAGACTTTTAGTAACTAGTAGTTCCCACTCTTGTCCACTTCCATTGCAGTTTCTTGCCAACGTGATGATGGTTGAGTGTCTCAGGCAAGCGCTGGCTACAAGGCTGGAGCACACCACGGCGCAGGTGGCTTAGCTGCATGAAAGATCCGCCACAGGCGGCCACAGTGCAACCAAAGGCAACAGAGTGGCGCTTTTCTATGTGCTGGAGGATGTTTTGCCTCGAGTGAATCTATTCCCAGGCACTCCATTTGTCATCTATCTACATTGGGGTGGTTTCAGGGACCAATCTAGACATATTCACATGAGCAACCACGGTTATTTAGGCTTTACTAAAGTAGTCTACGGAATGCTCGATTTGCTTGTCTATCATCAGTATTCGCTTGTGAATGAGATAGGGCCTCCACATAAACGAGATACGTTTGTTTGATGTCACTAAAGCAGTCTGAACGAGATAGTGTGATTTGCTACTACAGTAGTCCGAGCGAGATACCTTGACATGACCTCCTGCTTAAGTAGTCTAAACGAGATAGGGCCCCCACATAAGATATAGTGTGTTTGAGCCAAGTACCAAATAAATGCCGTCGCACACAAATATTTACCATACGCGGAATCTGTGGGATCTTTAGGGCTGTGACCGGCTGAGGCTGTCTTTTTCAAGAACGAAAGGGCCTCAACTCAAGCAAGTCCAGCTGTTCTTATGGCTCTTTGTGTCCGCATACCTCCCCGTAAAAAGCCTTCTATCAAGCTTGACCTCTTCCATGTCCATATGCCAGAGGCCTCACAAAACCGGAAAGATCTTCAGACACAGACCAACCCCGGCGGTCCCGCCTCAAAAGCTTGATTGGCTGTGGGCACCGTGGAAACATGGTCTTGATTGTGCACATCCTAGCGTAGGATCCCACCCCTGCAGGCTGCGTGTGCACCATGTGCCTACGGCGGCGCTGGGGCTTCCGAAGCTGAGGGCACTGCGAGAAAAAGGCCGAAGGAATCGCAAAGTGGTCCTATAGATGCGTACCCGACTGAAATACCAGAAGTAACCAGTTTTCGGCTGGACATCGTGTTTTGAAAAAGATGAATTGAAATTGACTGCAGGACCAATAGGGGCCCACCCAAAGCCGATACCCTCTAACATGGGTGACGGCATTAGTATTTATGTTTGAGAAGGTAGTGTCTTTGCATTTCTTGGGGGCTTGAGTCGGGCTTCACGCATACCCTACCGATAGCCGACCGATACCCTATTCTTCAGTTGTGGTGGTGTCGGCACTTACCTTTTGATAGTTTATGGGAAACTGCGGCCAGACCAGAAAACATATTTTTCTCCACAGCTACAGCTACTACTACTACTACTACTACTACTACTCCTCCTGCTGCTGCTGCTGCTGCTGCTGCTGGTCCTACTCCTACTCCTACTCCTACTCCTACTCCTACTACTGCTGCTACTGCTACTGCTACTCTTACTACTGCTGCTACTACTCTACTACTGCTACTGCTTTTGCTACTGCTACTACTGCTGCTACTACTACTGCTGCTGCTACTACTAACACTACTACTACTACTACTACTACTCCTACTACTACTACTACTACTATCATCCGCCACTCATATGAGAAAACCTGAAGCCGATAGGGGGCCACCCAAATTCATGTACAAAATGCCAAAACTTGAGAACCGACCTAACACATCGGTGTCCATTGTGGTACTAAGTAAGATTGCCCGACACTGGTATATGTATATATACATATTTGTCTAAAGGATTTGAAAGGTACTGCCTGCCACACCAGATCCCGCAAGCGATGCAGTGACGCAAAGCCATTAAGCGCACAACTGCGTGCTGAGTGGGTGACCTCTTTACCAAGTTCTGCTAACCACATATATATACATATATATCAACCTGGGCAAACGCTGGGCTTGGTGTGTCGGAGGTTGTTCCATCCAGCGCTGCCAAGGTTCAACTCTCCCTATGCGTTTTCCTATTTTGGCTGCCTTCTTAGAATCGTTTGGTCGGTTTCTGGCCGATTGCTGCGAAGAGAATTGCCCAAAGAGTTGAATTCCCAGCCTGCCAAGCCTTGAGCCACTTAGACCTTTTTCCTTCGTAAAGGAGCCTCAATTTGCAACTGAAAAGGGGAGAGTGTTCCAAGCACAGGAACAACTGGCACAAAACTAACTGTACGCACCTTGGCGAACACCTGGACGAAAGCAAGAGCACCAACCGAGGCCCCAAGGGTGTGGAAGAAGAGGAGGACGAGGCAAGCCACGGGTCACCCGGGGGGCCCGAGAAGAGCAGTTTGGAGTGGTGTACTGTTCACCATTGATTGGTAGATCATACCCTAGCAATGACATCATTGTACTGGAGTTGGCGGGAGTTGGTCATACAAAATCGTTTTCAAGGAGGTAAAACACTAGTCACTAGTCAAGCATCCACGTGCTGCTCATAGGAACCTCGTTTCAGTGCCAATTCCCCAGACAACTATCTCGCCCGACCAGGACAACTACCTCGACTATGGCCAGTGCCCCGAGATGCCCAGTGCCCCGTGCGCGACAACATCGGTCACCCTGCCGGAGAGGTACACGATGCCCGAAGACGACGAACAGCAGTCGGAGGATGAGATCATTCGCCCTGCGCGGGTGGTGCCGGCGGTTTTGTTTCTTCTTCACGCTGCTTTTGGACTTTCTCCAAGGGCTGTGGAGGAAGTCCAGTATCTTCCAGTGCCGCGTTAAGATGGAGAAGGCATAGCAACGCAAATGAAGATCCACAATGCCATGTGGCAACTGGATGGACACACATTCGGGGAGCGATTCTTAGGGCAGCCAGTCCCAAGTGGTCAGTGGCGCGGCATACGCGGGCAGACCCAACAGGTGTTTTCTGCGCGGCAGGCACGGACTGAGAGGGTGAAGGAGTACGTGGCCCGATTCTCAGATTTCTCAGGTCCCACTGGAGTTGATGTCGAAACCAAGGTGAAACCATGTGAAACCCCAGCCGATCCTCCCCGTCTCTCCCGGTGGACCCGCCGGAGATCACCAAGGTGGACAATTCCCAGCTGCAAGCCGATGCACCAGGCCCGCCCTGTTTCGGCAGGAGCGAACCGTGGCGTTCCGGTGGGAGCCGTCGTTTGCAGAGGCACGGATGTGGAGTGTCCCGAGAAAAGATCGGTTCTGCAATGGCTTTTGGAGGAACATGGTGGAATATCAACCTTTTTTGGTGAGGAAGCTCTGGGTCTTTGTTTGTTCATAGATGTGACACCTAGACCTACAACATAGGATATATTGAGTATATCCTGGCTCCTCCTGGTGGCCCAGGCGTGGCCTACCGCTTCAGCTGCCAATTGGACGACCGTTGGGAGCTCGACCGGTCGAGGAGGGAACGATGAGCGATATATGGGCATGCTATGGGCGTGCCAGCTTCGTCCATGTTTGCTCAATGGAGCCAAGCTCCTCAAATGAGGGAGTCCAGATGATGAGATTTCGGAATATGAATGAATATTTCTCGATCGTCATAGCATGTGTCCTCCCCTTGGGCAAGCCAGCAAACCGCTGGCTTCGCTCCTGCTACAAAGTGGGAACCAACTTCTTGGCTTGAAAGGGCAGGCACCTCTCGGGTGCCATCGCTTCGTCCTGACTCTTCAGCTTTATGGACTTGGGACAGTATCAATTGGAACCACGAAACTGATCGAAGAATGAACCTGCATACAAGAATAATATGTACATACTACAAAAACATCAAAACACATCAATTAACTACTGCATTTAGTATATGTATATATATATAGATAGATGTTAAAATGATATCATAATACGGAACTTTGATGTGTTCAATGTTAATTCGAACATGCTCCCTTTTTATGTTAACATATTCCCCAACCAGGGTCCCCACAGCAACACGCGAGGTCCCGGTACGTCCTTTTCAGCGTGTTCCTTTGAGGCGATGAACGGCGGCCTGTGGCGGCGTGGGGAAGCATCGTCAGTGGGGAGGAGAGAGCCATGGGAGGGATGTCAAAGGATGGAAAGATGGGGTGTCAAAACCCCGTGAATTGCACAGATGGGAGAATTGAGTGATCCTGGCCGAGACCCATTCATGCAAACATAGTCAACATTGGATACGAGAAAATGACCCATGCTGGGAAACGAAACAATCACCAAATATCACCATCTGACCAGAGTCGTGGCATTGTGAGGGGGACTTCCTCAAAAGTGTCCCCCGATGACGTTTGCAAGCTGTTTGGATGAAAAGTATCCAACAAGGAGTTACTCGTACCAAGGACGACCCTCCCTGAATCTCCTCATCTCAAAATTCCTGCCACCGAGCAACCTCGTTAACCAGCATTAGGTGGTGGCTGGTTTGTGAAATTGAGGGACGAAATGCCTTTATATTTAGTGGAGGAACTATTAGTGCAGGGTCCATGGGCGCTTTTGGGGTCAAAGCCTCCAAGAAGATGAAACCCAGCAGCCCTTACACACACAGTAGTGGTTTCCGACCGGTCCTCCTTTTGAGAAGAGATGGAGTGATCCTACGCTTGGGTTTCTTTAGCTCTCCTTCAGGATGCTTCGGAGGGCTGGGTCCGCGCGGGGCAGCCCGGGCAGCAGGCCGTCCGAAGTTCGCGGATCACCAGCAACGGCCAAGAAAGAGCACAGTGGCCCAAAGCATGCTAGATAGGATAGCTTACTTGGTGCGGGATGTCTTCCAAATCATCCAGCAGGTAGTGTCGTGATTGGGGGTGAAATCTGAAGTTTGACATGTGGTTTTTGTCAAACATATTTCAGATCTCCCAGATCGCATAGGTGATTGCACAAGTATTCCTCAAAAATATGATTAAGAGTGATTCTCAAAAAAATGATTCAGAGTGCCAGAGTGATTCTCAAAAAGATGATTAGGAGTGATTCTCAAAAAGATTATTAAGAGGGATTATCAACCAGATGATTCAGAGGGATTCTCAAAAAGAATGATTAAGAGTGGTTCTCAACAAGATGATTAAGAGTGATTGAGAAGATGATTAAGAGTTATTCTCCAAAATATGATTAAGAGTGATTCTCAACAATTGATGATTAAGAGGGATTCTCAAAAAATGAGTAAGAGTGGTTCTCAACAAGATGATTAAGAGTGATTCTCAAAAAGATGATTCAGCGTGATTAAACATATGTTTTAAGAGTTATTCCCCAAAAGAGTATGATGAGTGATTCTCACAAAGATGTTTGAGATTAAACAAGTGCTGCTGCCCCTACTTGATCTTAATGGAATTTGTGAACCTATGGATTGAGGCTTTTCGATCGAACAGGCCAAAGCCCCTTCTTGCGGCCCAAATCTGTTCGTGTCAACACGTCAACGACGGAATTTCATGGTTGACAGGGATAATTTCCATTATGGAAAGAATAGAACAGTCACCATCAGAATCATCACTTACTAGTTGCGGTAATTTGGGAGGTTTCATATGTGTCATCCAAATATACATATTATACAAATAGTGTGAGTGCGTGTTGTTTGTTTTCAGAACGTTCCTGGGAAAGGATACGGGTATTGTCTATTGTTACTTTATGTTAGGCTTGAGGCCACCTGGTTGGGTGAAGAACCGATGAAGCCCAGTTCGTTCTATTGCTTCAACGCACAGTGCACTTTTCAGGGTAGTCAGGGTCATCCATGAGTCAACCAAGGAGGTTAGTCAGTCTCTAGTTGACAGGACCCCCACACCTAGGCATTGAAGTTATATAAGGCATTCTACAATTCCACAAAATCAATTGATGTTAAGCCATTTCTGGCGCGGAATCGTCGAAGCCCGATTCATCCACTTTTATCCTGGGTGGGGGGATGAGTTCCAATCTGAGACACCCACAGGCTCGAAGCACAGCGGGCGAGGTTGGTGATCGCTTCTTGCCCATGGAGGTGAATGAGTGCAGAGCGCTTGGCCCCAGATCCGGGGGAATTTTGAGTGGGTCCACAGAACAAAATCAATGTGCCCCAGGTTGGGGCAGTTTAAGTGCATGTTGTACAACCCAGAGATGGTTTCGTACTGTGGTGTATGAGCTTCTCGTCCACCACTGTTAGTAGGCGACGCTTTTGCCACTATCGACATTGAAAGCGTCACTCTGTTGCTCCTTTTGCTGAGGAAAAAAAAAGGTTTTGAGAAAATCCATTTTCCATGTGTATGTCCAGTCCAGCAAGCAGTGGAACTAGTTGGTTTGCGGAGGGTGTGTTGGCAAAAGGGCACACATACAGGCGTATAACTATATTGGTATGTACTCACACACGCACACTGATTTATATATATATATATATCTACACATGCATTCACATAATTGCATATATGTACATAATTGTCAATTGGGGCAACTGGGAACATTCTTGGCTCTTCCCCTTGGGGTCCATGGATTCCTTTGGTAATGAAGACCGTTCTGTCCATGTTGTGTCCATTTTGGGGTGTGTTCTCCAAGCCACGAGGCTTTGGACGTGCAAAGCACGCATAGGATCAAGTCAAGACTACCTCAGTTCGGGCCAGCCGAGGGTGGGTGTCACGATCGGTATGTCACTTCCACCTGGAGTCAGGTAACTGCTTGAGACTTCTGGGGGGGTTCAACCAATATCTGTCCCAGACCCATGGTTATAAGGATTAGTGGAGTGGACCACTGTCCGACGGAGGGGGACTTGGTGCTGGGTTGCCCTTTCTTTAAGGTTGCCAGTTTGGCTCTAGTGGTAAGGCTTTGCCTGTGGCATACGTTTATGCTCCTAGTCTGGCGCCTTACTTGTTGGTTCTCGTGCTGAAGTATTTCGTGCTGAAGTATTGGAGAAGTAGTTTCTGGAAGAAGAGCAGCTAGGCGCAATGAAGAGGCTTGACCTGGTTGAGGCGCAAGCAAAGTATGGGGAACGCTTGCGCATTGCTTCATTGGGCGCAATACAGAAAACAGATGAATCCTTCAGGGTCATTCACGATGCAACGCGTGGCACTGGTGTGAACAACTGCATCATTGTGAAAGACCAGATTGTCTGTCCCACAGCTGGGGATCTTAAACAGGTAATGCGAGAGCTGAAGGGTGCTTCCTTTGTCTTTGGTGCTGACGTCAAGCGCGCACCGATTGGTGCGTGGGCTCTTTTGGGGCGGCAAGTGCAGCCTACCACTGGTCGCGCCTGATGAGCGGTCTACAGAGGGCAACTTTTCACCTTCTGCAAAAGCTTGACATTCATATGCTTACCTATGTCGGTGACATACTGCGGGTAACGCGTGGGAAGCCTGGGATAGAGGCATTGGGTGTTGTCTTGCTGCTTCTGGTGGCGCTTGGCGTGCCATTCTTGTGGGGCAAATGCTGTGGGGGTACAGAAGCTGACTGGGCA